ATCAAATCGGCGGGTCGAAATTGAACAAAGGGAATATTGTAGAGAGCAGAGAGAGGGGCGAGGTAATGTAATGTTCGTTGACTACGGGGATAATCCCCTTTCCTACAATACGTCAAACATCGATAACGTTAATCGCGCTCTTTGGAACGTAATCGCGCTACAACCGTTAACTGCCGCCAACGTTTCGGATCTAGTCTAATTTTACGGTCGACCCGATCTCATTCGGAATAACGGCCGGCGGCAACACGATAAATTCACCTGCGCGTATTATAATGGATTAATATAATTCAATAAAATGGGACTTGGGCGCGGCTCGTCCCATCGCCGCGCGATTAATGCGCCCTCCTACTCCTCCCCCCCCCTCCGTTGACATTCCCCCGCGTTGTGATCGCGAACCACCCCTACGGCCATCCCACGAATAACACCGCGGCCACTCGTTACAATAACTCCATTATGGCGAGGCCGATACACGCGGCCGCCGTTGTTCCACCTCGTTTCGAGCCGGTGGAGAAGGGGCTCGTTTCAGGGACACCCGGCCAATAGAGGGTACACCGCCTGATAATCGTGTTAATCCACTTCGCATCGTCGGTCCATGGTTTTTCTCTCTCTCTTGGAACTCGATTCGTCACGTTTCGATCGAGTGTCACGTTGTCAGGTCGATTCATACGCGGTGTTTTCTTGAATAACAATTTTAACCGGCGTAGAAGGATGGTACGTTTTAAAATTATCGCGTGGAAAGTAAGGGATGATACGGGAACGGGCCTTCATTGGCCGTTGATCGAAATGTTCGAGAATCGTATATCATCGACGAGGAGAAATTTTAAAGAGATTCCTCGCGGGATATTCTGCTTTTTATATCCATAATACATGCACAAAATCAATAGAAAATTTTGACACGCGTACGTTTTTCCTAACAAAAACGTTCTTTCGCGGTGCGAAAATTATATCGACTTTCGTCAAAGCCCCGCGTTGTTAATCCCACGCGGATCGTTGCATTGGTTTGTCGCGTTTAATCCATTTTCCATAAACGAGCGCGCGAAAACACGTTCGCCGTTCGTGCAATAACAATATCGATGATTTTCATTGAGATGGAAATCCGTGACAACAGTGGGCGTGATTGCGAAAATCGTCGACATCGCGGTTCTAGTGCATAATCGCGCGTAATCGGGTAGAAAATTTGCGGCGCAGGGACCCGGGAACAATAATTGCGGCACGGTTAAAAAGCGAAAGAGCCACCGCGAAAATTATGCGGGGCCGTTTGTCGTTCCCAGTGCGCCAAGTTAACTGGAAATTACCTGTCGTCTTTTACCCAGCAAGAGCGCAAGAAAATTGCTCCGACCGACCGTGCGCGTATCTCGTATACCCGAGAAACATGTATTTCGAATTCCATGTATTTTCCTTCCCGCATTGCGGTTTTTCCTTCCCCCCTTTCGTGTTCGCGATACCACGCACTTTTTTTCTATTTTTTTTTTTTTTTTTAAATAACGTCCATCGA